ACGCAAATAATAAACACAAAATTGATTATTATTCATAAAGTTAAAATATTTAAAAATGTGTTGCAATTTATTTATTTTAATTATAATATTATATTTTTACTAACAATTATAATTATTTACTTTATAATTTTTACATTGTTACTTTTTTTAATTTTATGCAAAAGTTTAATGAATAAAAATTTTATTTTATATTATATATTTGTCTTGATCAACATTATCTATTGATGTTAGTCAAAGGCTAATGCTATTTCTGTGACAGCAGATGTTTTTTGTATTGCGTTTTGATGCATGATTTTTAATACATATAACAATTTAAAGTCTATCTGATCGTGGATTGCTCATGCAACTGCTGAAAAAGTTCGCGTGACTTAAATTCACGCAAACAAAAAATTTGATCAGAGACTAGGCCTTAAGTTACGTGAATGTAAAATCACGTTTAAAATTAAAATATTGTTCTTCCACATTTGAATCTGTGAATTTTGCGAAAAAATATTACAATAACACACATAATGTTTTCTTAAGAAAAACAATACTTAAACAAACAGAGGAAAATCGTGAATTAATGAAAGCTCCGTTTTCTGTCGCAACCCAAACAAAAGTGCCACTTGATTAAATTTGTTTTCGTCCAATTAAGATATCCAATCCAAGTCTCGCTCCTAATTAATTTAGTTGGATTGCGCCCCGTGGCGAAGGTTTTTGCCAAGAAAGTTGGCTTTTGAACCCCTGGAGTGATTTTTGCCGAGCTGTTTATTGTGTGCTTTGCTGCGAAAGTATACAACATACACACACGCGAGACCGCAAACTCAAAGCGGCGGTGGTGGTTTCGAGCCGACAACGAGCTACATAATTTATTACCCTAGAGCGCGATCCAATCACATCCGGATTCACTTTTCCGCTCCAATCTGAACAAATTTGTTCTCCAATCTCCAATGTCAAATTAATTAAGTAAAATGATTAGAATATTTATTTGAAAAAATTTATTTGTTCAAATTTTTTGCTCTCAGCCATTCAACAAGTGAAGAAATTGGGTCAAATGAAAACTGAGTTTGCTCTCTCTGTTTATTTATTGCAGCTCTTTGGTACTCAAGAGTCGAGACCGACTGCCAACATATAAATTAATTATAGACTTTCTTGTCGACCGAATGCTTACTCTCCTCCCTTTGATATAAGAGAAAAGCTTATCTCTTGAACTTTTGCTCCGAAACGACGACGAGAGACGAATGTCTATCTATCTACTTGGGCTAATTTGATTGAAATGCATCACTCTCACAAACATAGTTTGCTTTATTTGCGAAACTAGCTCGCAAGTGAATATTAATTTAAAAGTTTATTTTTGCTCGACTCTGACGACGACTTAAGATGAGAGGAATCATATTTCATTTAATTTTATTGGATTGAGATAAATTGAGTGATTGCTTGAAAGAAGCAAATGAAAATCAACCTTATAAAAAAGTATAATAAAAATTGTAAGACAATTTTTTCTTGACTGAAGAAGTAGCCTTGTCTCAAAGAGAGATTAAATTTGTGAAGTATGAGCAAAACCAGACTTTGTCTTGGTTAAAATTTTTTATTTACTGTAAACATGTGCTTCCATCATTTTCAATTTTATTATCCGTTACTAGTTATGATTTTTATTGTTGATGCCGAAAAAAGAAAACAAAATTAAGTTCTAAAACAGAATGGAAAAATTTCTGTAAAAAAAGGATTTTTCACTTGAAGACGCCTCTAGTTGCAGGCATTATTTTTCAAACACAGATTCCAAATAAATAATAAAGTAAAATAATATGCAATTCTAAATTTCACCATAGCGATCGATCCTTAATTATAGGGGCCATATTGTCTGTATCTTAATTAAAAATAATAATAGTTAATAATTTATGAAAATTGAGTTGAAAGTCAAAATGTTATTAATTTTTTATCTCCCATAGAAAAAAATTTAAAATGAGAAAAATATAATTTTTAAACTCCTTTTGACATTTAGGTTGAATTTGTCTATCCAATAATAATTAATTCCATTTACTGTTTCTCAGCAAGAGAGTAATATTAATAAATATTTAATGATTATGTGTAATTTGGGTTCCAGAACTTTCCTCGTTATTATTATTATTTGCTTGGTCCATTTGCACGCCCACTTCATTGATATTCACAATTCAATTACTAGGAAAGCCTTCCTCCAACGTATGAAAGCCTCTGATCCATTTCTCGAAATCTCTCTTGGTACTCTCTGGAGGGTCTCATGTTGTTGTTGCTGGTGTGCCGTTGTTGTTATTACGATTATTACGACGTCTGTGTGTTGCGAGTTTCATTTGTCGCTGGCTATATTCGTTGTGTGTCATTATGTTTCCGCGCGCGCCGAGAGTTTTATGACCTCGGGAGATGAGCCGAAGATGAGGGATCTCCGAGGTACTAACTTTCGCTTTCCTTGTACCTGGCCAACGACAGGCAGCCCCATTTCGCAACCCTTGACGTTCTTCGCCATATCTGCGGCCTTGTCGCAGAGAGAACAGTATTAAATTGATGCACATATATGGACTTTATACAGAGAGGCGGATTGATGAAAGTTGAAATTGCAGAGGATTTTGTGTGTTGTCGTCTCCTGGAGAGAAATGCTCAAGAAATATATTGGTGGTGGAAAATGTTACCTCAGCGGTGGTATGAAGAAAATGACATGGCAATAAAGTTCGTTTATTAAAAAATATGAATGTGATGATAAAAAACTTAATTTTGTATGGCTTGAAAAATATTTATTTATAAATAATAAGGCTTCAAAATTAATATCCAACCTAATTCTTGTTCTATTAACGTGTTTTATATCGAGATTTTAATTTCGTCGTTATTTTATTAAGATTGGCGTTTTGCTAATTGTTATTACATTTCACAAATAAATAAGTACTGCAGACTGCAATTATTGCCAACACAAGAAGCATAAAAGGTAAAGCAATAGCTAAAAAAAGTTGATATTAAAGCAAAGTTTTTTAATACTAATTAGTGGCATTTTTCATAATAGATTTGTCTTTAAAAATAAATATACCTGGTCTTTTTAATGCGTATACATTATAATTTTTATAGTTTATTTATTAATTTTATAGTGTTTATTATTCAATTCTTGAAAGATTAATAATGTATAAATAAAAATTAGTGCGTCATCACATCCCATTCTGAATGGGAAAAACGGTAACGTTAATGCCATTCCCAGGCTGCCCCAGGCCTTCTGATTGTGAGTCTCAAAGTGAAGATGCATGCGATTGTCCTGATTGAATTTTCTTGAAGATGTTGAACTGAGAATCACGTTAAATTTGTGCAGTTATTCTCTCCACTTCTTAATTTTTTTTTTATTTAATAAGCTGTAAATTTATAGGAAATTTTTGCCTTTAAAAATTACTTCATTTATTTTGTTTATTATTGGACCAATAATTTGTCTTCCTCGAGTCACCGCAGATGCTAATAATCGATTTTCTGCACGATTAGGAATGTGCCAATTTTTATATAATTCATTGCGATCATAAATCTGCCGCATAATGGATGGATTTTCCGGGCAGCACGTCGGTGAATTGCGTATAATAAACGAGGCTCGCTCTCTCTCACTTTTGTTTTAAAATATTGAAAGCAGGCCGAGAGCAGAATGCGCCCAAATTAACCCTTTAAAAAGCAGCAGCAGCAGCCCTGTTTGGTTGATGATGAATTTGACCCCAGCTCGGCCAACTCCCGGCGGCCATTAATAATAATTGGTCGTTTTGTTCCGGCACTGATTTATATACCGCGACCAGCAATCAATATACAGTAGAGAAAAGCCGTCGATTCGCTGCTCTGCGACTGAGGGTGGGAAAAAAATGGGATTTATATTTACGGCCCCCGGAGCAGCCCTTTTTGGCGTGATCTCTTGCTTGCTTGGCTGGCATCTGAATAGTGCGGTGGCCTCTCTATGTATATTTATTCATGGGCGAAAAGTTTTTCTCGTCATCAACGCGCGGCGGCCGAGTCCCCTAAACTTCCTTTTTGCAGTGTGTTGTGGCGATGCACGGCGCCATCCATCATGCACAATAGCCGCCCGAAATAAAGAATGTGAGAAGCAAAGTGCTGATGGCGAAACCGCTCGCCGTGGCCACTGAGGCGGATGCGTCCCCGAAAAAGCGCAAAAGAGCTACTCCAAGAGACGTCTTCAGTAAAAAATCTAGAGACGAAAAGACGGCTGAATTTTTTTTCATTCAGAAAAATTTAAGAAGTTTCATAGGAACAAAATTTTCTTTCTCAAGTGCTATTTATTGTAATTTCCAATTCTAAGTGCCCTGATAAAAGACAAGAAATATGAGAATCCGCTTCAGAAAAATTAGAAAAATAAATAATTATTACATGTTATGATATATAAAATTTAAAAAAATTATTGGTCTCTTGGTTAGGAAGAAATTCCCAATCAAGATTTTTTATTTTTGTTTTGAACGTGGCCTGGGCTTTTCCTCAACAGATTTTTTCATCGCTTATTTATTTCAAAGAAAACAGAAAGATATTTTGTTTATTTTCCTTTAGGATGGAATAAATTACTCAAAACCTATCGAGGAAAAGTTCTGTAAAGCTGAAATAGAATAGGAAACTTCCTCTTACAAAATTGAAGCCCAGTCATTATTCATTTATTTCTCCATTGAAAAATATTGACGTGTTTTTGCTCCTTCGTTGAATTATGAGTTTGTAATGAAAACGAGGAGACCGATTGATATGGAATTTCTTTAAAAATTGGTCAAAAATTAATTGATATATAATATTAATAATTCCTTTAGAGAAATATAATATTATTATTATATATCTACACAGTCAATTAAAATAGAATATTCTGCATTTGAGTTGCATAATTTATTTTTGCTCTTTTCTACCACAGGCAATTTTCGTGATCACCTAGTTTTCCCAACCCTAGAGATGAAATTATTCCTTAATCAATTTTCCACAATAAATGTCAAAGTCTATATTAATGAGATATGGGAAATACCACAAATAAAACGCACATCATTGCCGAGCAGTTGAAAGCAAGCAGCCTGCTAGAAATATGCGGCTGCTCGCTTTCATTGTGCCGATCATTTTAATTTCACTGGTATTTACGCTCGTTCTAATTGAGACAAATTTTTACTGTTTGTGATTTGAAGGCTTTGGACGTAGAAGACGCCGAAGCTGCAGTTTATCGACGCAGAGCTAAAGCTCGGTCAATAATTCTTAAATGTTGCGGCACCAAGTCTTGCTCAAAACAGGAGGACAATAACACGGCGGTAAAAGGACGAAATAATGCCACAGCCATCACAACAAAGAAAGTGAGTTTCCTGATGCTTATTTTTATTTGTTTGTGATAATAAAATCAAACTGGTCTTCTCAACTGCGTTACTTAACGAAAATGAAGGAAATTAATTGAATCTAATTTGTTATTTTCACTTTTCCCTGCAAATCGAATTTCATTTTTTCATCATTACTTTTATTATTTTCATGGTTTGATATTAAATTATGTTACCTTTCAAAGTCTATTAAATAAAATAAAATATAAGTAATGATGCTAATTAAAAAAAAAACCAAAGTTTATTTGTAAATTATTGTGTTACAGTAAGCGGACTTAAAAATCTCTTTTAAGACAAATTCTTCACAATCTTACAAAATTAAGTAATCTTTATTTCACCTGAAAACTAGATGAATTTGACAAAAAGTGATGAAATAGAAAAAGAAGTGTATTAAAAAAGAAATTATTGGCTTAATTTTTATAAAATAAAAAACGAACAGTAATAGTTAAGATTTTAATTGACAATTAAATCAGGATGGTGTGGGTAATGCGGCCGTAGCAAACACTGTTACCACCAATTCAGGACCAGCTAATACGGCAAATGCTGACGCGTCCGGGGGTGGCGAAACACCACCACCTGCTGATGAAACTCCTCCTGAAGGAGATCCACCAACTGACGCAATCAATCAAAATTTGGGCACAACCCCAAGGTGAGATATTTTTGAAAAATTTGGCGGTGCGAATTAAGTATATAAATTTGGGGAATATCAACTGCTAGTGGACCGGAAGTTTCGGTGAGCAGCTCGGCCGCCACCGCAACACAGGAACCCAGCACGACCGGCCAAAAAATGGACTCGAGTACTTCAAACACGACCACATTTACAAACAGCTCCACCCTTGATTCTACCTCAAATGCAATTTCGGCAACGTCTTCTACCTTGAGTACCTCAACAACTACGACACCAACTACGACGACTACAACATTAGCGACTACCACTACAACCCAACCACCATCTGTTGAAGTAAACCATAAAAAAAATCAATGATAATAATTTACTGAAAACAAAATTAGGAACTCATACTGGGAAAATGCGAAACGTTTGACAAGGATGTAAAAATTTATTTCTTAACAACATAATTGATTTATAAAAATACAAAAATTAGGTGACACAGTTTACATCCGATAACAGTTTGAAAGGTTTGTCACAATATAAAATGTAACAAGAGATGACGAATTTTTGAAAATTGCGTGGAAAATATTAAATAGTATACAAAAAAATTAAACGTGTGTAGATCCAGAAAAGTATGGTTCTTGGGTGGAATCATGTGGCTATCAGTTTGTCTTCGGAAAAACATACGTAATTCTCCAATACACTGACTGCCAATCGGTGAAATAATAAAATTAATCAAAGGTTACCTGGCGAGAAAACATGATAAAGTGTAATGAGATCGGTATGGAGCCCTTGACGGTTGAAGATGCGACCAAGCTGGAATGCTTTTCAAAAATGGGTCTATATTAAAAAATGATTAGGGAAATTCATAGCTAGAACTTTTAAAAAAGGCTACAATTGGAAATATGCTTCAAATTTCTGGACTTCCGGCATTAGATCAAGTCAGAATACTTTTTCATGGTGCAAAAAACCGACAAACGTCTCCTTCGGCATGCAAATTCCATGGGCCGCCGGACAGCCTGATAATGCAAACAACAGCGAGAACTGCGTCCACATGAGTTTTCTGCGAGAAAACAATCCCATTAAACTTTCAGACAGAACATGCACCGACATGTTCATATTCGGTTGTCAGGTAATTAAATTCTTGCAATTTATAAATGAAATTTAAATGTTAAATTTAGGGCCCAACCACTCCCGTTCCATCAACCTGCGCGTCTCCTGTTTGTTCGAACGTGCCATGTGTCAAGAATGTATTCCACTAAAAAACAAAAAAAAAAATCAAAAAATCATTTAATTTTTGTAGCCATCTTTGTTCAGCTCAACAGACATTTTAAAAAGTAATTTTTTTATATTATTTTATTATTTAATAATAACATTAATTGTTTTCCTTAGCACCAATGACGTATGGAACTTGGTTCAATCATAACGGAAGAACATACATGTTCAGCCTGTCAAACGTTACTAATACGGTAAAGAGTCCAAAGTTACAAATTTCTAGAGAAAAATTAAAATTTTCAGTTTTCGGGGGCCATGAAAGCGTGCTGCGATATTGGAATGTCTCTGTTAAGTCTTGAATATGACTACAAGTATAAGTCCCTGATGGAGGCTATGAAGGGTGCAATTATTTAATTAAATTATTATTTAAATTAACGATAATTTATTCCTTTTCAAAATATTTATCAATTCACCTTAATTCATGATAGTGAAAAAATCTCATTTTTAGTGAATGCGTCGTCCAAGTCTGACTTCTTTTGGACTTCTGGTTCTGACCAGGGCTGCGAGGGCAAATTTGGTTTTTGCACGACCCAGCGAACTTTGCGAAAAGACGCCGTTTGGGCTCAGGGACAGCCGGACAACGCTAACGGGAATGATAATGCGATTGCGATTACTGTTAACTCGAGTCACTTGCTATTTTACGACGCGAATGAAAATAGCCAGTACAGATACATATGCGAGGTGAAACATATTATTTATTATTTTATAAAATAAGCACTCGGTAAAAATAATTTCAGGGACGAGACACAAGGAAGGCCAAATCAGGCGGCGACGGTGTAAGATTAGAGTGTGCCGCTGCCTACAACGTTACTCAAGGTTTTCAATTTTCTTCCTCTCTGTTTTTTAATCAATATAAATGATTTACGTAGAGGAACAGAATACTTTGTTCACCAAACCAAATTTTGACGTCAGAATAAGGGTTTTAAAATAAATTGTCACTGTCTAAATCAAAAAATTTATTAAATTTTTTTTCTTTTTAAGTGCTTCCTTAAGTGCGTTGGTGAGAACGCTGGAGTGGTTCGTATTTTATTTCTAAGTTAGATCAACTCGAGATTTAAATTACTAATAATCCTTTTTTATTGACAAAAGATGGTTAATGGGAAATTTGTCTATAATGATGCTGTGCCAGTCATGGAAAATATGATGGCGGGCAATGTGACCGAGTACACCAATAACTTTGCAATAGTTGACGCTTGCAAAAATTCCCTAAGTAAAACAATTTTTATTTATCTTTTTTTAAAAGAATATTTACTGAAAATAATAGTGGGTATGAGTGAGTGCGATCTGGCTGCCATGATGATCAAGTGTACCAACGACAAAGCACCTCAAATCGTCCGTGGCATCATCGCGGGAATGGAAAAGACCATCCTTCTGGTTTGAATTTCTACAAAACTAGTGAAACAACATTAAAAAAATTATTTAGGAAAAACCACCGATGGCACAACCAGACGCATTTTGCTACGATCCTTCTGCTTGCAAATTGAATGTAAAATATATTAAAAGAGTGTAAAATTACATGCAAAATTTATGAAATTTTTCCATCTATTCAGTCTGCATTGAAGCTAGAGGTTGATAATTGTGCATGTAAGTCTTCCAGTTTTCACTTAAAAATTAAACTTTAATTTCAAATAAAATAGCAAATTGCTCACTAAGCGCTGGCGATGGTTTAATTAGATCGGCTTGTGGAAAGAAGTACCTTTATTACAAGACAAGTGTATTTAATCGCTTGATATATTATAAAAAAATTATTTAAATACCAAAAATTTCACTTAGATAACGTGGGATCAAGCATTCATCACATGCTGCGAATATGGCATGAAATTGGCCTCAATCGATAGCCAGGATGAACTCGCGTGTCTCAGCCGCGGTCTTGGTTTGTCCTAAACGTTTCCTGCCAACTTCATTTGATTGTTCTTATTTTCAATCAGACGCATCATTTGATAGTGTGGCCATGTGGGTGGCTGCCAGCAAGTTTAACAGCACCGTAACGCGATGGTGCACCTCAAATGTGCCGTTTTCCCTAGAAGGCGTTTCAACGTTTGCAGAAAATGGCAATGCTTACACTTTCATAATGAGTCAGCGGAATTTTAATGCTGAAACACCAACAAACACCAGGCCAGCTTTTTGTGTCAATATGTGAAATAAAGAGAGAGAAAATTCACAATAAATTAGTTATTTTATTGTCCATTCTATTCTAATACATTAATTAATTATATTTGTGAAACTTATTAGTTGCAAATGACATTTATCGAATTTTATTGATAAATCAGAGTGGAAAACGCTATTTGCATTGAAATTAAAAACTATTGAAAAATAATTTTTTTTATTTAATTATTAACTATTGAGAAAACTAACAAAAATTGCTTTTTTTTTTCAAGCGTTACAAATTTTAATTCCAATTATAAGTGCCCACCTGCAGGTATAAAGTTAAGAAATAAGAGAATCCGCTATAGAAAAATAAAAATAATTATTACATGCTATGAAATATAAAAATAATTGTTCTTGGTTAGGAAGAATTTCCCGATCGAGAGTTTCTTTTTATTATTTTTATTTTTGTTTTGAACGTGGGCTTTTCCTCAACAGATTTTTTCAGTCGCTATTTGTTTCAAAGAAAACAGAAAGATGTTTTTTTTATTTTCCTTTTGGATGGAATAAATTACTCAAAACCCATCGAGAAAAGTTCTGTAAGGCTGAAAAAGAATTGAAATTAAAAACTATTGAAAAATAATTTTTTTTATTTAATTATTAACTATTGAGAAATACTTTTTTATTTGATTTGTTATAATCACAATAGTAAATCAAAGACAACTTATAAAATTAACAAAATATCTGCTGAAACATTTTAAGCAATAACCAATTTGTCAATCGAATATTTTTTCATGCCTTCTATGTCATTTTGTAAACGGAGTAAGCGTGTATTTGAAAAAGCTGCAGATGTGTCTGCTTTTAAATAGAGCTAAATTGGAATTACAAAGGCAATGACTAATAGCTTATTTTTAATAAATATAAATAAAATGTAAATTATAATTTTCCGCGGAAATTATTTTCAAGCTTTTAATAGAAATGAATTAAGTAAATCCTGCCTTTATTACGAGTTTATTTTCCCCTCGCAGTAATTCCAGGCCTGCGACAAAGCCGAGAGCGCGTCCGCTGACGTGTGTAGTGCTGACTGAGATGCGCCGTCTCTCCATAAAAGTGCGCTTTTATTATTTTACGACGACATAAAATGCATCGTGCAACATTTTAAAAGTTTTATATCAATCGCAGGCCTCGAGCTCTCGGATCGCATAAAACGCCCCTTAACTCTCACAGCAGCATAATGCACGTGTGTCTCGCTCACTGCATCATGAATAAAAAGATCCCCGACAACGAATCAGGGCAAAAAGACGCATCGAGTTTATCTTTACGGGGGCGCATATTATTCAAAACGGCTCGCGTGGCCATTGTTTTTAGAGAGCTTGTACTACTTTATTGGGTACATCTCCGAAGCAGAAAGCAGCCGTTCAAGCGAGATAAGCGCGAGGGCAAAAAGTCAAAATCGGCGGCGATCCTTTGAAAGTTGAAAGGGCAAAAAGTGAAAGCGCGCTTCATTCGGAGATTAATTTTGCAAAGGCTCATCTGATACGGTGTGCGGCCTCGGGGCTCGTCACTTCCAAGCTCTTTCCAAATGTCCACGCAAAAACGCAAAGGCTTTTTATTTCTGTCCACTCCAGCACGGAGCGAAACGTCGACGAATCGTTTTTCGTTTATTTGCGCGTTATGCGTGGAAAACCGGCCGCGAAATTGTTCGCGAATGCTGTTTGCTTTTAATAAAGTGTTTTGCAAAAAAATTGATTTGCCGCGTAAATGTCTGGTGCAGAATTATTGCACAGGGCATGCGAAACTAATTTTTTTACAAAAGTCTAGAAATGTCTGAATTTAATTCCCAAAGAGAGATAAAAAATTCCACCTAATTTAAAAATTTTATAATGAAAGCAATTCCTTTTTCTGTAATTTAACAATTTGAAGAAAACAAAATGCCAGAACAAAGCCTTGCCACTAAATGGTATAAATATTTTTAGCTACTGGCATCCAGGATGATTTGTTCTCTAGTATTTTATTTATTTTTCAATATTTAGATCAAATAATGCAACCCCATGTTCAAGTCATTGTCTATGAAACTAAAACAAAATCCTGCAGATACATGTTTCTACTGCCGGTTGCACGCGCCATAATTCATTATTGTTGTTTAATTGTCCACATTGTTACAAATACATTGTTTACATTCATATTTTGATGAGCCGTGAAATTATATTGACATTTTTTACAACAAGTCTGTATATAAATTAAGGACTCCTTATTGACAAAGTCAAATCAAGTCTTTACAACAATAGAAGCCGTTTTTGGCAATTATTGGAAATTTAACAAACCATTGTTGTAAAGACTTGATTTGACTATGTCAATAAGGAGTCCTTAATCTCATTACAGTTTTCCATAAAATTAAAATTTTAGGGCAAAAAACTGTTTTTGTTTCACAAAAACAAAATTCTTGAATTTGTTTATTTAATCTTTCAAAACCATTATTGTAATCATTATTGTCAGAATAGAAAAACGCATGTTTCTAACTTCCTAAGTAATGAGATCAATTGAAGTCTTAACCTGACGATCTTAGCCCCAGGATTATGCCTTTTTTTCAATTCAAAAAATATGAACCAACCTTTGACCTGTGATGAATTCTTGAATATAAAATCTATTCATTGTTTGTAGGTATAATTGAAATTTTTGCTTGCTTTATTTTTGCACTGTAATTTTTCATTATATATTATAAATTATGATGAAACTGACGATCTTGCCAACAGATAAACGAATTAAAAGTTACAATTCAATGAGGTTTTAGAAGTGATTACAAGTATTTATTTTCTAAAAGCTACTCAAATCTTTTAGTAAAAAGTAAAATAGTTAATTCAGAATTCTCTCAAGTAACAGGGGTTTTTCAGTATTTAATATTTGGCAAATAATATAAAAATAAAATTTATACAATAAATTAAAATGTGCATTAGTAAATCATAAATATATATTAAGTTATTAAGTTTATTTTAAGCTAAATATAATAAATTAATATGCGTAATATGTATTAAATGAATTGTGATTTTACGGCAGAGCTAAAAGGTTTTATTTTAATTATTCAAAGTATTGTAAAGAGTTTAAATTAGCATAAACAAATAGCACTTAAATTAACTCCACGAATCAGCAAATAAATGCCAATAAAACCAAATGCACCCGAACGGCGCTTGCAGAAATAATGCACTGTGTTTTATGGGCTATTAAGTGCGGAATACTTTTCGATTTGCATCCCCTGAGGTTGATTGACCCATTTACCAGCTGCAATGTGTCCTTCCAACTGCAGAATTAATTCAAACGGCGCTCAATCAGGGCTCAACGGAGCGAAAGCGCCGCCGTAAAAGTGCACAGGTTAATAAAAGAAAGCGTCCGGTCGGTGGATGTGTGTGTGTGTGTGTGTGTGTGTGTGTGTGTGTGTGTGTGTGTGTGTGTGTGTGTGTGTGTGTGTGTGTGTGTGTGTGTGTGTGTGTGTGTGTGTGTGTGTGTGTGTGTGTGTGTGTGTGTGTGTGTGTGTGTGTGTGTGTGTGTGTGTGTGTGTGTGTGTGTGTGTGTGTGTGTGTGTGTGTGTGTGTGTGTGTGTGTGTGTGTGTGTGTGTGTGTGTGTGTGTGTGTGTGTGTGTGTGTGTGTGTGTGTGTGTGTGTGTGTGTGTGTGTGTGTGTGTGTGTGTGTGTGTGTGTGTGTGTGTGTGTGTGTGTGTGTGTGTGTGTGTGTGTGTGTGTGTGTGTGTGTGTGTGTGTGTGTGTGTGTGTGTGTGTGTGTGTGTGTGTGTGTGTGTGTGTGTGTGTGTGTGTGTGTGTGTGTGTGTGTGTGTGTGTGTGTGTGTGTGTGTGTGTGTGTGTGTGTGTGTGTGTGTGTGTGTGTGTGTGTGTGTGTGTGTGTGTGTGTGTGTGTGTGTGTGTGTGTGTGTGTGTGTGTGTGTGTGTGTGTGTGTGTGTGTGTGTGTGTGTGTGTGTGTGTGTGTGTGTGTGTGTGTGTGTGTGTGTGTGTGTGTGTGTGTGTGTGTGTGTGTGTGTGTGTGTGTGTGTGTGTGTGTGTGTGTGTGTGTGTGTGTGTGTGTGTGTGTGTGTGTGTGTGTGTGTGTGTGTGTGTGTGTGTGTGTGTGTGTGTGTGTGTGTGTGTGTGTGTGTGTGTGTGTGTGTGTGTGTGTGTGTGTGTGTGTGTGTGTGTGTGTGTGTGTGTGTGTGTGTGTGTGTGTGTGTGTGTGTGTGTGTGTGTGTGTGTGTGTGTGTGTGTGTGTGTGTGTGTGTGTGTGTGTGTGTGTGTGTGTGTGTGTGTGTGTGTGTGTGTGTGTGTGTGTGTGTGTGTGTGTGTGTGTGTGTGTGTGTGTGTGTGTGTGTGTGTGTGTGTGTGTGTGTGTGTGTGTGTGTGTGTGTGTGTGTGTGTGTGTGTGTGTGTGTGTGTGTGTGTGTGTGTGTGTGTGTGTGTGTGTGTGTGTGTGTGTGTGTGTGTGTGTGTGTGTGTGTGTGTGTGTATGGGACGTTAGTGCAACACGAACGCAAGGCAATGAAAAGTAATTGCGCAAAAACACAGTGAGAGAGTGAACGGCGCACACACGAGCCTTGAAAGAAAGTTTTACTGGCGTGGCGGCGGAGGCGGCGGCGGCGCATAATGGCAAAGTTGCTCTCGCTCGTCTTTTCATTGTAGTAAATCCTCGAAGCAATGGCTTTTCAGCTCCCGAGCTTTTGTAGCGAAAGCAAACTTCCATTTTCCGCAAGTGGCAAATTTATGGCTCGAAATTATTGCGAGATAAGAACGCATTTCGAGCTTTGTGAACTCAAAGACTTTCGCCTTGTTTATCTTTCGCTTTGAAAATTTTCCACCAAACCCGGCCGCCGTCTCTCGTAAAACTACAAATAAACTTTTAATAATAATAATAACAAAGGCAGACGCAATTCCGTGCAGTAAATAAATTTCTCCCTCGCTTGGATTTTGTTGCTCCGAGTAATAACTGTCTCAGCCCAAGAAGTTGAGGAATCTCTGGCATCGTTTTTTATCTTTCTTGCTCTTCTGCGGTGCTGATCGGGCAGAGAGTGCAGCGGCAGAAATACCGCAA